AGAGATCTTGGAAAAATCAACTCCCTTCTCTGCACGTTTCCTGATTTATAAAATGAGATGCAAGATCCAAACAGCTTATCCCAGTTGGTAGACCTTTGCACGCCGATACCCGGAATGGTGATGAGAAATTGAACCCTTTAGCAATAGGGCACTTGAGAGGCATTTGTGGCTACCAGAGTCTTCTGGCCCAATACCTCTGGCTGTGAACAGCCTTGTTCAGGGCTCCTCAGGGCTGCCTGGGCAGATGAGGTCTGGGGTGCGTGCTGAAGAAGCAGTAAGCACAAGGACCACAAGCAGCACTTGAGTTCTACATCAAGTGCTTTGCATCTGCCAAGCCCCCCCACTACCCATAATGGACCAGAGTAACTCTGGGACTGCTACCAGAGTTTGTGATCCAGGTGCTCAAGGGTACAGAGGTGTTCTGTTAGTGGGTACGAGAGGAGCAAGGACAGAGCAGGATTTTTGGTGAGCTCAGCTCTGGGCTTGTAGTTGTTAAGTGCCATCGAGTCGGTTCCAACCCATGGCGATCCTGTATAGGGTTTCCAAAGAGTAGCTGGTGAGCTTGAACCATCCACCTTGCAGTTTAAACAGCTTTGCAGTCTAGTGCATTAACCCACAGTACCACACCAGGACTGGGCAGTGGCTGTTAATATTTGTCTTAACATCATAGTGATTATCTCCAACCCTTTGCAGTGATGTGCCCTTTTAGTGGTGGCCTGGCTAGCTGCTGACAATGCATGCATGCTCTGAAACCGAGAGCTGCAGTGTGGAAATCTTGATATGAAATTGTACTAGGAGTTTGAAATTCATTTGCATTATCATTTGAAATTGCAACATTACATTTGTCAGTAAAAGAAAAGGAAGACTTATTAGATTCTTTAAATGTAATTACAATTGTAAATTTTGAATGGTTGTATAAAATGGTTTTAAATATTTTATTGCCTATGTACGCGAGCAGAGTCCCTCACTGATAATGACTACCCAGAATCTAGAGTTCATCATTAAAAAGTCTGCATCAGAAACTGCAGAAGGCCATTTCAAGCATAAAATCTAATATCACAAGATTGTATTCAGAGGAATAAGTTCAAGTTGATCATTTTAAAAGAGTAAAAATATTATTTGAAAGTTTTATGCAAATTTGTTTTATTTTTATTATAATTATATAATTTAAAGAAAATGTTATGTATTTTTAATGCATCATTAGATGCTTACAAATCTCTTCCAGTTTACCCTGTTGTAGTTGTGTGCCGTCGAGTCCCCTATGTTGTTGTTGTTGCTAGGTGCCATTGGTATCAACCGACTCATAGCGACCTTATGCACAGCAGAATGAAACACCGTCTGATCCTAGACCAACCTCACTACTGTTGCCATGCTTGAGTCCACTGATGCTGCCACTTGGCCAATCCATCTCGTTAGGGGTCTTCCTCTTTTGCTCTGACCCTCCACCTTACCAAACATGATAGCCTTCTCCAGTGGCTGGTCCCTCCTGATAATATATCCAAAGTATGAGAGATGAAATTTGGCCATCTTGGCCTCCAAGGAGCACTCTGACTGCACATCTTCAAAACGGATCTACTGGTTCTTTTGGCAGCCCATGGCACTTTCAATATTCTCCTCCAACACCATAACTCAAAAGCATCAATTCTTCTACGGCCTTCCTTATTCACTGTACAGCTTTTGCATGCATATGAGGTTATTGAAAATACCATGGCTTGGATCAGGCGCACCTTAGTCCTTAAGCTGACATCTATGCTCTTCAACACTTTAAAGAGGTCTTGTGCAGCAGATTTGCCTAATGCAATACACCATCTGATCTCTTGACTGCTGCTTCCACGAGTGTTGATAGTTGATCCAAGAAGAATGAAGTCCTTGACAACTTCAATCTTTTCTCCGTTGATAAGAATGTTGTTTATTGGTGAGGATTTTTGTTTTCTTTACATTGAGATAAATCCATACCGAAGGCTATGCTCTTTGATCTTCATCAGTAAATGTTTTAAGTCCTCTTCACTTTCAGCAAGTAGGTTGAAGAGTCCCCTAGTGTGCCATAAAATTGTCATTTTCTATATGTGCCACATGATATGAATCGATTCATTACGAGAGTTTGTCTGCCACCCCAGCCTACCCTAGAACCTGCATCCGTCTTTTCCTCTTCCCTCATACCTGCTCTCTTTTCTCTCATTTCAAAGGACTAGACTGCAGCCAAAGATGAAGTCTGTACCCCACAGGGTTAGAATTAGAGACGGGAGTTTTATATCTGAGATACTAAGTGGTTCTATGACCGGAGTACAAAAATCAGCTCATGTCTAGAAACTTCACGCAGTCTAGATGAACAGATCTGGACACATTGAAAGACAGGTAAAAGTGATAGCTCAGGGATGGAAAGGAGGAGGAGCAGACCTGACCATCACTCCCCTCCCTTGGTAACCACCAACAATCATAGGTAGAACAAGATAATAAAATGAGGAGACAAGAAGAAAAGTCTATGCATCACAGGTGGACGTTAAAAAAATAAAAAAAGTACCCCTAGACAGCCATGTTCCATGTTTGTCTCACTGGCTTTCTGAGGTAGACCCTCTCGCCTTTTGAGTGTAGTTTCGCTTTCTGTTAAACCTGCTTTCTCACACTCCTGTGGTCTTGCTAATGTCTTGTGTCCCGACACCTCACCCAAATCTGCGATTCCTTGCTAGAAGTCCAAGAGAATCCCCGTGGAACTTTTGGTATCAAAAGGACAAAGAGTAAGATCCAAAAAATTAACGGACTAATATATCACATTTTGGGTGGAAAAATGAAATATTCTGCTCTATATCATTTCTCAAATTAATATAAAAATGTAATACACCTCCAAGAAGAAAGAATAAGAGTAACATAATTTACTGATGTTAGCCAACACCTGGAGAAACATCCCTGAAGTGAAGCCAGGTGAGCTCTCTTCCTGAACCCTCTTGCATTGCCTCACAGGGTACTTTGATGTGAGTACCATTATCCTAACGTCCCTCCTCAGAAACCCTGTACAAGGGCTCTATGAGTCAGAGCCCACTCTACAACATTTAACAACAACAAAGTCCCTTACTTTGCATTTTTCTATGAACCCAGAATTGATCAAGTTATTCAGAACTGTTTCATTGTCATCAAACTTGCAAATCCTTGGTTTATTATGGTGTGGCGCTGTGGGATAAAGCACTAGACTGCAACGTCAGTTTGGACCACAAGGTCAGTGGTTCAAACTCAACAGCCACTCCTTGGAAACCATATACAGAGTGGCTATGAGTCGGAACCAACTTCACAATACTTAAAGAACAACAAGAGCATGCATTATTCCAATGACTCAAATACTGTTGTTGGGTACCAGGAGTGTGTGGTAAGGTATATTAGTCATAAACAGAAGTTTGTGATAATGAAATCAGAGGAAGGAGGCGGCTAGTTTGGAGGGTCAGTTCTTTCAGAATATATTAAGGTCTGGTGGCTGATTTCTGTCCCAGGACAGAATATACTTTGCTCATATTTGTCAAATGCAATCCCTGTCCTCCTGGAGCAATGTTAGATACTCACCAACAAATTCTTCATATTGTCCTTCCTATTTCCAGATTCCAAGCAGACCCACTCCTCACATTAATACACTTTTTTCCCCAAGGCGCTGAGTCGGGCTGCTAACCTCAAGGTCAGCAGTTTGAAACTAATGGACGTTCTGCGGGAGAAAGATGAGGCTTTCTGTTCCTGTAAAGATTTACAGTCTCGGAAACCCTATTTAGAGTCCCTGAGTCAGAGTGATTCCATGGCACACCACCACCATACAGGGCAGTTTCTAGGTGGGAAGGGAGACTTGTGAATTGTGTTTATTTTCACTGGTAACTGTTTAAATATGGATTTGCAGATTATGAATTTTGGGATGTGTCTTGAAGATCATCAATCCCATTTCCATTTTCATTAAAAGAAAACACTAAAAGTAGACAAGGTTGTTTGCTGCTGTTGTGAAGAGCCATCAAGTCAGTTCTGACTCACAAACCCCACATAGGGTTTCCCAGGAATGGCTGGTTGGATTGAACCACTGGCCTTTTGGTTTTCCTACAGCCCCACACCAGGATTTAAAATAATTTGCCAAGTTAATAGCCAAGAAAGGATTAGATCTTTTCTTTTTATTCACTCAGTTCATTAACATGTCATAATTGGAAACAGATGATCACATTAAAGTGAAAAATCGCGAAATGGTAGTGTATCTGGCGACCCAGCTTATTAATCTTCCAAATCATTCAATTCCCTAAATTCTATCCACAGGAACAGATACACCAACTCCTCCAACAGTAACTGGAAGAGTGTCAGGAAAGAGTAGATAGATTTTTTTTTTTAAATCAGTGCGTGTGTAATGAATTGAACTCGACCAGTTCTGCCTCAGCTCATTTAGGGTAAAAATTCAGTGTCAGCAGCATTTATAGGCCTTCCCGAAGTGCCCATAATTTATCCATGTGGACATTGCAAGGATTTCCAGTATGGAAATAGAAATTGACCCCGGCATTTAGAAACTGGCGATGCTTAGGGGTCGAGAAGGCTTTCCTATAACCTTAAGTGCAGGAAAGAAAAGTATGTGGTTTTCATTTTTTCTCAAGGGCCTAATGGAGTTAATTCATAAAAGGAGACCAAGAGGGCCCTGTGGGGGAGGGGAAAGAAGCGCGAGAAGAAAGGAAAAGGCCTTTCTCTCTGGTGACGAGCGGTCACGAGGCGTTCTACCGACGTGGGTGCTTAGTATTGGCTGAGCCGTACCTGACGTAAGAGCAGCCGCCCCAGCGCGAATCGCTGCCAGGGCGGTGCCGCTCTGTAAAGTGTGGATGCGCGCGCGTTCCCGCGGCCTTCCGCGCGCCAATCCTACCGCAGCCAATCCTCTCATCCAGTCCTTCTTCGCGCCCTGTTAACCACGCCCCTTTTCAAATCGTCCCACCCCCGCCAAGCCGGCGGCGCGCGGAAAGTGCGTCACGTGACGACTAGCCCCGCCTCTTCCTCTCGGTCTCATATTGAACTCGAGTTGGAAGAGGCGAGTCCGGTCTCAAAATGGAGGTAAAACCGCCGCCCGGTCGCCCCCAGCCCGACTCCGGCCGTCGCCGCCGCCGCCGGGGGGAGGAGGTATTAGGAGGAGAGCGGGGGGTTGTTGGGTAGTGGCCGGCGTGGGGGACCGGGCTCGGTGGGAGCGGGGAGGCCGGGTGGATGAGGTCGGCCGTCCCGCGCTCGGCGCTGAGACTGGCGATGGGAGGGGGAGGGGAGCGGGCCTCTGAAGCCTCCTTGGAGTCCCTTGCCTGCCTCGTCTTCTCTTTCGACCGCACAGGCGGCCTCTCGAAGGCATGGCGTGGCTGAGAGGATCTCGGAAGGGTAGTAGGCCCGCCGACCGCACAGCCCCGGAGCGGTGGCCGAGGGCGGCATGGCGGGTCTCGGCGGGAGCGGTTGGGAGGAGGTGGGGGGGGAGGGGACGAGCAGGCACATCCGGGCGAGCGAGCAGGCGGGCGGCGGCCACATTGACATTGATCCGCTGCCGCGTTACGAAATGGCGCATTGGCCCGCAATGGCCGCCGCCTAGCTCCGCCGCTGGCAGAGAGCGCGGATTGGAGGGAAGGAGAAGGAGGCCCGGCAGAAAAGGCCTCAAATGGCCTCGCCGAAGTTCTGCTGGCTCGTTCTAAGCTTACCGATCGCTCATCGGCTTGGAGAATTGGTTAATTCTCAGAGCTGTAATTTATGTTCTTGTAATTTACAACTCCGTTGAAAACGAAATTAAAAAAAAAAGTTTGCTACCTTAAATGTTTTTGATCTGCCATTTTTCTTGTTTAAGTGTTTAGAATTTCTCTGATATTCACAATGGCCACGTGGGTTAGGTGTTAGATGTAAAGTAGGAACTTAAAAATGGGATGTCCATATTTTTCTCTTCGCTGATGTTTCGGCTGTTGGTAGCTCCTTGGACTTTTGTTTTAGAAAATTAAAACTACGTTTTCATGTGCTCATTGTAATTTTAAGTGGCTCAATTATGTTACTGCTATGATTTTTAAAGTGTTTTATAATTATAATATTGATTCCTGGTGTGGTGCTGTAGGATGAGCACTGGACTGCGAACCATAAAGTGAGCAGTTCAAACCCACCAGCTGCTCCTTGGAAATCGTATACTGGGTCGCTAAGAGTCGGAACCGACTCGACGGCACTTAACATTGTGAACGTAATGCATTTAACTGACTTGAGACAATGGGATTAGAGATAATGCTGTAAGCTATTGTAGCTTTTAATATGTGAGTTTCCGACTAAATGATTACATTTTAACATTTATACTAGAAGGTACTGTAGAAGAAAGACAAGAAATTTGCTTTAGATACTTTGGATAAACAGATCTTGCAATGTAGGGCAGTTCATGTTATGTATTAAAGAGTCTTTGGCAATATACTTGTATAACAATTCAGGCCACTTTTTTTTTTTTTAACACCGTTTGTGGTCAGACAATATATATTAAATACAAGTCCTATGAAAATTCAACTTGTAAATTTGTGACACTGTAAAAATACGTTGTACTAGAAATTGTTACCATATGAAAAAAGTACAAAAAGACTATTTTTGCTGAAGGTAATGTAATTTGGAACAGAAAGTTATATAAGTGGTAAGGATTTGCTTTTTCAGTTTTGGGAAAAGTGCTGGTTAGACCTTTTACAGAAAATGTCTATTTTTAAACATTTGTTTGCTTGAAAACTAGTAAAATTTCTCTAAATATGCTTCTCAAAACTTTGCTGTGTTCTTAGATTTGTGGTTTAAAATGAAATATTTGTTGGGGTGTAGACTAAAGAGGGGATGGATATGAAAATAAATGGCATGAAGGCAATATAGCATCTATAGCACTTCAGTGTCTTAGAAAGTGACATTCTTGTCGTGGCTTTCAAAATCATCTATCCCAAGACATTTAAGCGCTTTTAAAAAACAAACATCACTAAGGGATTTTTGTTTATTGAATTATTTTGGATTTCAATTTTGTTGAAGTGATGTTGACATCTGAGAGGCTTGGTGTCTGTACCTAAAATCAGTGTCTATATACCTACTCCAGTTTTTAATTGACAGACTGTTAATGGTACAGGAATTTGATTAATAATATTAATTTTGGTTTGTGTGCCTAAGCAATACCGTAAGAAAAAAAGGGGGCCTTATTAAAACATTGACTCTTTTCCCTCAGGGTCATGATCCAAAGGAGCCAGAGCAGTTGCGAAAACTGTTTATTGGTGGTCTGAGTTTTGAAACTACAGATGATAGTTTAAGAGAACATTTCGAGAAGTGGGGCACGCTCACAGATTGTGTGGTAAGTTGCTAAAGGAACAAAAATGTTCTTCGGGCAAAGGGTGACCTGTAGTGTGTTTCAGTACTTAAAAGTTTTTTTATCTTGTAGGTGATGAGAGATCCCCAGACAAAACGTTCCAGGGGCTTTGGTTTTGTGACTTACTCTTGTGTCGAGGAGGTGGATGCAGCAATGTGCGCCCGGCCACACAAGGTTGATGGGCGTGTAGTGGAACCAAAGAGAGCTGTTTCTAGAGAGGTATTTTAATAATATGCTGTGTTTTGTGTGAAATTGGTGTGAAAAGTTGTTTTTATTTGTAGGATTCTTTTAATTTGTAGGATTCTGTAAAGCCTGGTGCCCATTTAACAGTGAAGAAAATTTTCGTTGGTGGCATTAAAGAAGACACAGAAGAATATAATTTGAGAGACTACTTTGAAAAGTATGGCAAGATTGAAACCATAGAAGTTATGGAAGACAGGCAGAGTGGAAAAAAGAGAGGATTTGCTTTTGTAACTTTTGATGATCATGATACAGTTGATAAAATTGTTGGTAAGTACTCATCTTCAAGTCTCACTATCTTTTTGATAATGTTCTAGTTAGTTAATACAATGATAAAGGATATCGTGTGATTTTTCAAAGAGCATAGTAACGTGTTTTGATTACAAAATTTTTTTAGTTCAGAAATACCACACTATTAATGGGCATAATTGTGAAGTGAAAAAGGCCCTTTCTAAGCAAGAGATGCAGTCTGCTGGATCTCAGAGAGGTGAGTAGGACTTAATATGCAGGCACAGTAGATTTGAGTGATATTTGTAAGGTTCCTACAATTAACCTACTCTGTCTGTTAAAAGGTCGTGGAGGTGGATCTGGCAACTTCATGGGCCGTGGAGGGAACTTTGGAGGTGGTGGAGGGAACTTTGGTCGTGGTGGAAACTTTGGTGGAAGAGGTAGGATGGTTATCTGAATACCATTAAGTACATGCCTACTGAAAATTTATTAGCAAGTTGAATATGTAATTTAAATTTATGTCTGGCTTTTCCTCAGGAGGCTATGGTGGAGGTGGTGGCAGCAGAGGTAGTTATGGTGGAGGTGATGGCGGATATAATGGATTTGGAGGTGATGGTAAGTTTTTTTTTTAATTGATACTTAATAAGACTTAAGTATTTGCTATCTTCTTTCTGTAGGACAACTTGTTAGACTTGACAGTATGCCTTTAAACTGGTATTGAAGAGAGAATACCTTCATTCTTTATGGGAATTTAACATTGGTATTAGCTAATAAGGAGTACCTGTGTGGTTAAGAGTTCAGTTGCAGTGGGTGTGAGGATTTTGGGGGTGGGATGGTGCAAAGGAATCCTGGTGATGCAACGCTTAAGCAATTGGCAACAATCCAAAAGGTTTTCAGTTTGAGTCCATCACTACAGTATTGAAACCTCTGTTGTTAGGTGCTGCGGAGTCGAATCTGACCCATAGCAACCCTCTATAGGATGTTTATATTTTACCCTGTTTGGTACAAATGGTAACTCTTTCAGCTACTCACTGAAAGGTTGGAGGTTCGAGTTCACCAAGAAGTCACTTTGGAAGAAAGGCCTGGTGATTTGGAAAATCAGCTATTGAAAACCCCGTGGAGCCCAATTATACTTGGACATTTTGGCATTATTGAGTTATTTAATGACTAAGATTTAGAATATTATATAATATTCTAGTCAAAAGACAAAATTTTAAAAGATATTTTGGAAAACATGCCATGGTGTTGATTACTGCACACCTTGATCAAATGGTGTCCTTGAATTGTACATGTAAAGCATGTTAGAGGGCCTGAGTATTACAGTTGAGCTATAGTTGATTGTCTTGGGGGACTGCTATACTGCAAAAATAACAACAGTTGTTTCTAATACAGATAAGGTGTTTAAGCATTTATGTGTTTGCTAGCTGAGATTCTTGCCGTTGTGTTACAGGCTGTATTTATAATGTTTCTGTATGACCTTTTTTAGGTGGCAACTATGGAGGTGGTCCTGGTTATAGTAGTAGAGGGGGCTATGGTGGTGGTGGTGGACCAGGATATGGAAACCAAGGTGGTGGTGGATACGGTGGCGGTGGTGGAGGATATGATGGTTACAATGAAGGAGGAAATTTTGGCGGTGGTAAGTTATTGACTAGTTCTGTTTAAGCACAAGTATTTATATTGCCATTTAAATGTTGGGGGTAAAGTGTTAAAAGTTTTTTTTTTTAACATTTGGTCAAGTTTTATGTACTATAATTTTAGAAAAATTACTTATATGTCGGGTAATTGGATTGAATTTATTTGCTGTTGGTAAAAGTTTTGTGTAATGACACTTAGCATTTTATATTTGTTTTACATTGGTATTAGCCAACAATGTTTATTGCCAGAATTTTCCTTAACTCTCTGAGCTCTTTAAATCTGGACAAGTAGTATTGGAAATTTAGTATGGTGTATCAACGGGGGTCTAGTTAACATTGGTGCCAAAGTACTTTGGATTTTAATATTTTTATGTTATAAAAAATGAGCAAATCTGAGTCATTTTTCCAGGATATACTGTTGATAGAGGGAGTTCTGCAGACAAAGTACTTTAGTACTTCGCCACAAACTAAAAGATTGGCAGTTTGAACTTAACCAGCCACTCACCAGAAGAAGGAGATGATAGTCTGCTGCTGTAAAGATTATAGCCTTGGGAACTTTGCTGTCCTATAGGGTTACAATGAATCAATCAACTTGATGACACTAGGATTGGGGTTATAGGTGGTAATCTTTGCTGTGAATATAATAACTTCCTAATGTGGTGCTGTAGGATAAGCACTGGGCTTCTAGCAAGGTTGGTGCTTGAAACCCACCAACCACTCCTTGGAAACCTTAATACAGGGTCGTATGAGTCTGAACAGACTCAATGGCACTTAATAGATTTGTTGGAGTCCTGGTGTGACATTATGATAAGTGCTGGAATGCTGACCACAAGGTCAGCAGTTCAAACCAACTAATCGCTGCTTGGAAACCCTGTATGTGCTCGTTCTGAGTCAGAACTGACTCACCAGCACTTAGCAACAGCAATAGATATGGAATTACCTTCTCTATCATTGATTTAAATTCCAGAATTACAGTAAGCCAGTAATAATTGTGGCTCTGCTGGTAATATGCTTTGGTCTATAAGGTCGGTTTGAACCACCAACTTGCAGTTCCAAGCCGGCTTTGCAATCCAGCGCGTTAACCCACAGCACCACACCAGAACTGTTGTTAAGTGCCGTCAAGGTGGTTCCGACCCATAGCAACCCTGTATAGGGTTTCCAAGGAGCAGCTGGTGAGCTTGAACCTTGCAGTTCAAATGGCTTGCAGTCTGATACATTAACCCACAGCGCCACACCAGGACTCCTGATACTCACCTAGAAATGTGCTATTCTGTACCTTTTGAGATTTTGTTTTGTTTCCTCTCCCTATAAGCCTTAAGTGTGTTTAGCAGCTCTAAACTCTTCAAAGGCTTGCATATATGTATGTGAGAGCATGATACCAGTTTGTGAAAAGGTAATGCTTATATACTGTGAAAGAGGAAAATGATTGTATAGGTCAGCTTTAAATAAAATTTTTGTAATTTCAGGTAACTATGGCGGTGGTGGGAACTACAATGATTTTGGAAATTATAGTGGACAACAGCAGTCAAATTATGGACCCATGAAAGGGGGGGGCAGTTTTGGTGGTGGAAGAAGCTCGGGCAGTCCTTATGGTGGTAAGCCAGTTTTTTCCCATCAAAAGTTTCACAGCATTTTAAAACTACAAACTTAATGTATGCTTAAGAAACTCCCATCTTTTTTTTTCAGGTGGTTATGGATCTGGTGGTGGAAGTGGTGGATATGGTAGCAGAAGGTTCTAAAAATTCAGCAGAAAGGGGTAGGTATCTTTCAGTATTTATCATGATGATAAAAAATATATGTGGAACTTGTTCACTGAGTTTAATAATTTTTTTATCCTGTATTATTCAACAGGCTACAGTTCTTAGCAGGAGAGAGAGCGAGGAGTTGTCAGGAAAGCTGCAGGTTACTTTGAGACAGTCGTCCCAAATGCATTAGAGGAACTGTAAAAATCTGCCACAGAAGGAACGATGATCCATAGTCAGAAAAGTTACTGCAGCTTAAACAGGAAACCCTTCTTGTTCAGGACTGTCATAGCCACAGTTTGCAAAAAGTGCAGCTATTGATTAATGCAATGTAGTGTCAATTAGATGTACATTCCTGAGGTCTTTTATCTGTTGTAGCTTTGTCTTTTTCTTTTCTTTTCATTACATCAGGTATATTGCCCTGTAAATTGTGGTAGTGGTACCAGGAATAAAAATTAAGGAATTTTTAACTTTTCAATATTTGTGTAGTTCAGTTTTTCTACATTTTAGTACAGAAACTTTGACAAAATGCAGTTTTGAAGGTGTTTCCTTGTGAGTTAACAAGTAAAGAAGATCATTGTTAATCACTATTTTGTATGAATTTTGCTAAAGTTAACTGTAAAGAAACACCTGCTGACTTGCAGTTTAAGGGGAATCTATTCTCCTCATTTCCAAACCATGATATGAATGGGCACTGACATGTGGAGAGAATAGATATTTGTATGTTTGCAATGTGTGTTTTAGATAACAACTAGGATTGGATATTTCAATTAGTATATTTGTGAATTCATAGCATTAAGATTTACCTTCAATGAAAAAAAAATCTCAAAATTCCTATTTCGTTTTTTGTGCATTTTCTTTTAAAAAAACTGTAATCAGATTTGATTTAGTGTATTAGCTTTGCTTAGAGTCCTAGCTGTGTTTAAAAAATAATACATTTACTTTGGTCACATTTGAACTGCTGCCATAATTTTATTTGGGTGTAAAGAATTTCTGCTGCCCTCTGCTTAAATTCTGGAATAGGGTAGGGTAGTGGATATTTTACCCTATCGTCCTACTTTAAAAATGATTCATAAAAACTTAACCACTAAGCCCGCTGTACCCAAGCAAATTAGTGGTTACCTTTTAAAAGCAAAATTCTTTTTGACGCACTTAACAAATCTTAAGTTCTTTTCCTTGGTTTAATTTTAAAAAAATTGATAACAAGTTCTCAGAGCAAGAGAATAAAAATCATGCATTGTTGAACCATTTACTGGCTGGTATGCTTTCCTGTTTGCACACTCTGCATCTAACTGGATGGAATCAAGGATAGTCGAGGTGTGATCCAAAATAATTTACTGCAGCAGCAATGTAGCACAGTTGCTTAGTACAAGTGTCTCACCTTCCCAAGACCTGAGTTCAAATTTGGATAACCTGAGTTCTTAGTCTCATATAAATTTCCCCAAAACATTGTTAATCCACGTTATGTTTCAACCTAAATCATGTTGATGTGAGTTACCATTCTGTTTTGAAGACCCTGGGTTGAGTTTTAAGATATAAACAAGGTCATATATATATAAACCAATGTCTGTTTTGCGCCAGTTAGTGCTTAATTTCATTTGAGCCCTAAATATGTGCCCTGCTGTTGTTTTTCTTTGACAGTTGAACACTGAATTCAGATTCCTTTGTTTTAAGTGTAGTACTAAGCAAAACAAGCAATAAAAAGGGGAATGGGGCGTGCTAGTGTTTGAATATGCTCTATCTCATTGCTCTAATTTGTGCCTCTGTGCATTAATAATGGATGCATGCAATGCCAGCATGAAAATTGGTCTTCACAGATATTACGGTTTTTCAGAACACACTCACAAACCAATAAATGTAACAGACAACATTCCATTTGTTAATGGGCGTATGTGAATAAGCAGCATAGAAAATAGGTTAATATTAGAAAATGGCCAAGTCTTTATCAACTTCGTGTTTTTATAATTGGACACTGTCAATGTTCATAATATAAACCTGGGTACCTGGTCAAAATAATGCTTGGGGAAGCATTTTATTAAAATTGAGCTAAGTTGTCTCAAGTTCTTTTATTCATATAATAAAGTTTGAAGGAATGGGGGAAAGCGATGAACATTTCCTGTTTTTGTTTGTGAAATTGTTTGACACAACCTTGACAGTATCCTTTCTTGACATGTGAGGTTAATTGTATTGTTAACAAACTTTCTGTTCTGGAACTAGTTTAATAGAGAAACTTTTTCAGTAAGTTGGTGTGTGCAACCTATAAGCAGGTGAAGTCTGTGTATGTGACCTGTTTATAAGTTGTATTTAGCTTACTTAGTTCTTGTGAAGAGTGGAAAAGTAAGCCATGAGGAGAGCGATTTAACCAGCTTTAAAGGACCTAAGAATGTGCTTTTAAGCGCAGTGGATCAAAAGAAACTCACTAAGACAGGACTTCAGCAGCCTTTTGAGTATGGACAAGTCAGCATAAATAAAGATGACAAGGCAGCAGCAAGAGCTTCAACTACAGAGAAGTGGAGGCATAAGATACTATGGTGATAGTGAGCGACTTTCCAAAGGCTAGTTAATCTGCTAATTGCAACTGTGAAATAACGAAGAAAGTCTAGCAGGAGCTCTTCGCCTTTTGGAGCATCAATGACAGATAGTTGCCACAGTCGCTAGGTCTAGCATTTAGACCTGCAAGGAAGGGCAATAAGCATTAGGTAAGGCTTGAATTTGAATTTTTTCACTAATTAAAGAATAATTTTTTGTAAAGCAAGGTAAGAGTAATCTTTTTGATTTGCAGGTTGAATGAGAAACCCTACTTGGCTAAATGAGGAATGTCTTTCCTACCATCTTATATACGAAGGTTTCTGGCTGGGTAAGGTTTGTAGCTTAAACAGTAAAACCTGATGACATCATTTGTTTACATCCACATTTAACCTATATGACATTTTAAAGTTAAATTCATCCCTCTCCTATAGATGCATTGGCAAAATTCATCAGCTGAAAATTTGGAACCATCTTTTAACATGAATCGTAGCTGTGTTCTTTTTTTTTTTTTTTCCATTTATGGGACCTGTCTTTTTTCCCCTGTGTTCAAACAAGTCACTGCTAATATCTTTAGGGTGAAGTCAGTTTTGTTAGGGGAAAAAGTATAATCTCAAATTTTGTGAAAGGAAGTTTAAGAAGAGTGGCTTATAGTAAAAGAACTAATCTGTCAGTCAATCCCCATTGTACAAAAACATTCACATTAGCTTTATTTTCATAGGGGCTATTTATGCTGTCTGAAAGGGCATGCTAAAAATTTAGACTTCTATTCACTTCTTTAAAACATTTAGTATTTGGGGGATAGATGCTTAAAATACAAACTAGTTTCTAAATTGATAAACCATCTTCCTACATACACTGTTACTTCCAGATCGAATTTAGTCTCAGAAAATGGTTGGCTCTATGAAAATCTGAACAAAATTACTTCACATCACCAAAAAAAGTGTTGGGTAAGACCTTTCAATGACATTTTAGTGAAGCAAATTGACTCAGGAAAGAATTTTCTTTAGAAGGTGTTTTATCCTGTCCATCTCTATGTAATAAAATGATTTTATATGAATGTAGTTCCACTGTGATTTCTGGAAAATCTGATGTCTACATCCTTAAGCTGGTAGCAAAAGAAAGCAAAGCTAAAAAGTTGTATATATGGGAGGAGGGGGGAATAGACAAGTTTTTAATTGAATTAAGCCTGTTGTAGGCTATGGCTTGATTATTTTTTTTTTGTAATTTAGAAAACTCAAATTGCACTCATACTAAAAGAATGTGGTAGGTACTAAAGACCATTTGTTAAGGGACTTAAATCAGTGAACTGGGCTTGGTTTTGAAGAGTCTGGGGCATATTAACTAGTTACAGATTGAAACAATTCTACTGACTGTCTCAAGTTCCTATAATTGATATCACAAGGTAGTGAAGTAGACATACTAATGTGGAGGGCTAATTAAGAATTGCTAGCCTACCACCTTTAAAATTTTGTTTTATGAATTTTTAAGGTTCAAGAGGTGTAGTCTGTAATGGATTTAAATGTTTCATTTGTAGTATCAAAATGTTTACAGAAAGAACTTTTTCATTAAAGTATTTTTAGAAATGTGTGTTTTGTTGCCTCAGTGTTAATATGATTTAAATACCTTATGATGGAATGGTTGGGAACGACCAGAGGGGCTGTGAATAAAAGATAAGGCTTTCTGTTCCTTTATGGAGTCCTGGTGTGGTGCTGTAGGTAAATGCAGTGGACCAGATCACACTGGGTCGCTGGGTTGAAACCGACTTGATACTTAACAATATAGGAATTTGGAGTGAGTAAAAGATAATCATACCATTGATGAAGAATAGAAATAAGTGCCATGGTACATAAGCACTTGGGTACTATTGGGCATAATGGGTACTATTGAATCGTGGTGTGAATGCTTTAGGACAACGTGCTGGGCTACACCATAAGGCTGTTCAAGCTCACCAGCCGCTCCTTGGAAACCCAGGATGGCTGTGTATGACTTGGTATGATGGCATTTAACAGCATTGATTTGTTGAACGTTAGTTTGGGCCATGAAGGAGAATATAAGGGATACTTGGGTGACATAAGAGTAAGTCTTGGTGGGGAATATAGTATGCACTCAAGTTGGTTCCTACTCATAGTGGCCCTGTCTAGGGTTTCTGAGAGTGGCTGATGGCTTTGAACTGCTGGCTTTACAGTCCTACAGTCCCAGCGTGTATCTTACAGTGCCACGCCAAGGGAGTAAGGAGACAAAGGATTCCAGATGATTTGAGTTTTGATCTTGAGAGGCAGTGAAGTGGGAAAATGAACACCATGAAAGTGCAAATAGGTACTTGTTTGGAAAATTCATGGAGGATTTTGGTAGAGATTAAAATTAAACTAGCATAGTATGCTTTGGTTGCCTTTAGCCTTTGCCCAGTGTATGTACCAAGTGAAATAAATCTGGTGCTGCACTGCAAAGTCTGTTAACCACTTTTTCAGAAACGGATTTGCTATGAGTTAGAACCAACTTGGTCGCGCTTAATATTGTAGTGGGGTTTGCTTATATTTAAACAGGTTTCAAATTCTGTGCAATTGAGTGAATTAAAAAAAACTCCCTTTGTCTAAAATGTCATAGGACAAGAGCTTACTTCATTACAGCAAAATAAGGTGTCAAGTCAATTCTAATCATGACCTTATATAAGGTTTCCCAGACTAAATCTAAACAGAAGTGATAGCTTCATCTTTGGCGGAGCACCTGTTGGGTTTGAACTGCTTACCTTTTGTGGTTAGCAGCACTAACAGCTCTACTGTATTTTTCGCTGAATAAAAACAATTTTTTTTTTAACAGATTAAAGCAACACTGTTCACATCACAGATGTAGCTGCTCTTTTGTCTGTGTTTTTCCCAAAAGTAGAACTCTAACAGGTTGGCTTAACTTTTGAGCTGAGTTATTTTAATAAGAGCAATGAGAGAAATAGAAGGTGTCATTTTTGCAAATTTTCAAGTACCTAATGACAAATGAGTACTTTGAAGTACATGGTGATTGTTAAAAGACATGGTTCTGAAAGTTAGGCAATATTTACTGGCTAAGTGCCTTGTACAAGAATGTTTGACAGCCTAAAACTTACTTCAGTGGTATGAAAGGTTACATTATCCTGGTGTGCTGCAGGTTAATGCACTAGAGTTCAAGGTTGGTGGTTCAAGCTCACCAACTGCTACTCAGAAACTGTATTACAAGGTTGCATGAGTAGGGACAGCACTTAACCATGACAACATAAATCTATATAGCCACTAGTTACAGGGTTCCATATTCACAGATAAGAAATATCAAACATAAACTAGCTTTAATCTGGAGATGACAGTATCTTCATATTTGTACTCCATGTTAACATGTTATTTAAAATAGACAAAAATCTGGTTAGCTAGATGATGTGAATTATGTCATTTAATAGAGTGGAAGAAAATGCAATTAGGTTTTAGCTGGTCTCGTACACAGGATATTTATATACCGATTTCTATAAACATCAGTATATGTATATTATCAAATGGTAAGTACAAATTTGGTGATCTTGAGCAAGTTACTTGGGTTATGTTTGGCAGCTCTGTGGTAGCTTAGTAACACCAACAGACTCATTAGAATGATGTTAAGTCTATATGCATAAAATAGAATTAAGGTAGCACTTTAAAAATGTTTTGATTTAATGTCTGAAACATTAAATGAGACAATATTTTCCCATACAGAGGCTATGAGACAGCTGATTATAGCACTAGTGGTGGGTCTAACACCCACTTTCTAGTTGTAATTCTTAAGTTTTGAGGTAACTTATAATTGAAACATGATAGTCACAAATAACTGAATGTTATTGTTGCTTAATAATGTTAAATTTTAAATATCACTGAAAACTCCTCAAAATTCTCAGGCAGGCCTGTTCTGCCCAGATTAAGAACTGTTTATACCAAATTTCTTTTTTCGTAAAATAGAGGTAATACCTATGTATGTATGTCTCAAGAATAAATGTGTTATACTGGGATTAACAGTTTAACCTAGTGCCTGGCTTGTTAGTGCAACATAGTCAATTCTGACTCAGTAACCCTGTGTAGGGTTTCCAAGGAGTGGCTAGTGGGTTTGAACTGTTGACTTTATGATTTGCTGTCCAGTGCTTATCCTATAGTGCCACACCAAGTCTCCATGCCTGGTCTAGAGTCTTTGAAGTACAATATATTTGGTAACAAGGATAGGTCTCACAGTATCCTGAAGTAAACCTGAAATCTTAGTGGACAACAGTCACACCAGTATCTTGTTTCTAATTTCTGTGTACTGTGTTTGAGTTTTATGGGCTTTGCTTTTTTTTTTTTCTCCTCTGCTTCACAATTTTTATGAAATGGAATTTAACTAGCTTTGTGTGTGTGTGTGTGTGTATTAAGTACTGTGGAATCTGTTGTGACTCTGACCCTGCACAGGGTTTCCAAGGCCATACATTTTTATGGGAGCAGAAAGCCTCATCTTTGGAGGAACAGCTGGTAGTTTCCAACTGCTGACCTTGAAGTTAGCAGCCTGTTAGCAACCACCATACTGGCTCCCTCTCCCCTCCCCTCCCCTCATCTCCAGTAGCACTGTGGGTTAATGCACTGGACTGCAAGGTCAGTTTGAACTGTAAGGTGTCAGCAGTTCAAGTGCTCACCAGCTGCTCCTTGGAAACCCTATACAGGGTCACTTGGGGTTGGAACCGACTTGACAGCACGTAACAATTCTAAACATACCTAACCTACAGATCAGTCTATTTCAATATTGAGAGAGGGGAGGTGTGCATGTGATGAGACCCATATCTATGAACAAGAGTTGGCTTAAACTGGTTATTGCAATATAGGATGTAGATTTTCATTACAATTTCAGAACTTTTTTTTTCTAGGCTTTACATGTAATGAGTGTGGCTCTGGGTTAATGGCGCTGGACTGCAAAGTTGCTTTGCACTGCAATATCAGCGGTATAAGCTCACCCCTTATACAGGGTCGCTATGGGTCAGAATCAGCTGGACACTTAACATGTCATCTGGATGGTATGGCTTCTAATCAAAGGATTGAGCATTCACATCTCAGAAGTTCCCTTGTTAGAAAGGCCTGGTGGTTGAAAAACTGTTGGAATACAGTTTAACTCTGACATGTGTCACGTGGCTGTGAGTCATCTGCAGCAGCTGGTTTACTTAGATGCTGAACAGCTCTCAAGCTTATGTCTAAAATGGCTTTGAACCAGTTTTGACATGGCAATGAAGTGACATTTGTTGTTTAGTGCTGTTGAGTTGATTCCTACCCGTAGTGACCCTGTACAGGGTTCCGAAGGAGCAGCTGGTGAGCTTGAACTGCCAACCTTGCAGTTCAAACTGACCTTGCGGTCTAGCGCATTAACCTTTAGTACCACGTCAGGATAATACAGTCATTTCGTACCACCATTAAAGTAATTTTAAAGCTGTCACAGTGCCTATAATTCCTCCCTGTTCTGCTTCAGCTACACTTAACAAGTTCGGGTCCTTTCTGCTTTCATTTTTGGACATGACTGGGAAGAACTAGTTTGAAGCCTTGGTCCGAAAGTAAACATTTCCCCACTTTAAAACAATTTCCCTATCTGCAATTCTAAAGATGGTCAGGTCCTTGACTCCTTTTCATGCCACAGCCATTCTGTCAGGAAATTGTTTTTTGATTCTACTTTGGAACACATGCAGAATTCAGTGCCTTTTTAGCAGCTGCTACCACCACAGAACAAGTCACCATTTTGTAAGTATGGTTGTTAGGTGCCATCAAGTCGGTACCAACCCATAGCAACTTTATACACAGCAGAACAAAACACTGCCCAATCCTGTAAGTACAGTAGAGCCTCCCAACTGGTCTCCATGTTTGCATTTCCACCCTCAGAATATTCTATGTCAGGACGAACCAGAGGGAACTTCTAAAATCAAGTGAGATGTAGATCCCTGCATAACACCTCTGATGTGAAGTGCTGTTGATTTGGCTCCGACCCACAGCGACCCTATATAGGGTTTTTGAGGAGTAGCCCAGTGCTGATCATTCAGCACCACACCAGGAGTCCAAAAGCTACCCACTTAGGAAGGACTTGAAGTTTAGGAAACCCTTTAGGGCACTTCTCTTAAAAGGGGTCACTGTGAATTGAAAATTGACTTGGGGGACACCTACCTAGCACAATGGAGTCCTACAAGGCTCTGTGTGCCCTACCCCCTTTTGGCTGTTTACCTGCTCCCTCTCTTCACTTACATTGTCATCCTTGTACTTTGTTAAGTAGGCCTTGGAGCCTTTGTACTCAATGTGTCTATATGCAATGATGCTCTTTGCTATAACAGAATGGCTTATTTTCCCACACTTCGAAATGCTGCCATATCAAGATTTTCCTATTTATAATCCTAATTTAAATAATACTCTTTACTGGCCTTCCTCAAATTCCTTTCTCTTACTGTCTCCCCCAGTTAGAATCCAAGAAGGCAGATATTTCTGTTTTTGTCCACTGTACTTTGTTGTTGTTAAGTGCCATCGAGTCAGTTCTGACCCATAGCAACCCTGTACAGGGTTTCCTAGGGTGTAAATCTTTACGGGAGTAGAAAGCCTCATCTTTCTCCCACAGAGCAGCTGGTAGTTTTGAACCACTGACCTTAAGGTTTGCAGCCCGATTCGTAACCACTACGCTACCACTGTACTTTGAGCAGTGCTTAATTAAGCATGTTGCATATGTGATAAATGCTTTGATGTTAAGGCATAACATTTTCTTGGTTAAGACATGCCCATTGTACATGTAATATCATTGGCACCATAAGTTTAGTGTAAAGTGCTTTATTCAAATAAAACTAATGAAAATGTAAAACATCTAAAATGTGTCAAATGTATTGAATGTTTTGTGGGAAACATTGTGAATAAGTTCAATTAAATGAATTGTGAAGAACTAATTAACAGTCATAATATCTCCTTGGAGCCCTGGTGTGGCCCTGTGGGTTACTGCACCAGACAGCAAAGCCGTTTGAACTGCAAGGTCGGTGGTTCAAGCTCACCACCTGCTTGGAAATCCTATACAGGGTCGCTATGGGTCGGAACCGACTTGACGGCGCTTCAAAATAGTATCTTTACTATTACCAGCTTAAAAAATTTTTTGTCAGTGCGAAACTATAAAAAAAGCCATATTTTTGTTCATACAGTATTTATTTAAAAAAGTACATAGTGGTTAGTTTTGCAACAATTTGCTCTTAGCCAGATGTCATACCACCATACAAATCTATGAATATAACAAATGAGATAAGAACAGTATAAATAAGTTTTTCTAGTATTTACACTTATACAGAAACTAGCCTAAGGAATTAAGTTTGCAGTAAAAGTGGAACTACTGATTCAACATACTGATAACTTTTAATGCTTTTTAAAGTTTTATATTTTCTATACTAGTTTTGGCTGTAATCTTGCATAGAATTATAAAGTATATTTCTGTCTGCATTTCACATCACAGTAGGAGCTTTTAGTATATATAACAGTACAAAAAACAAAAAACCACCACAGCTCAGAAAGGTCAAATCGTCCCAAATTTAATTTTTCTTAATATCTGGCTTCTTACTTTTGGGCACAAGGAATACGTTGCCATCTCTAGTCTGCTGCAGAGAGTACTCACTAGGGGAATATGGGTTCCCGTCTTCATCTCGCAGCATGCTGAAGACCTCAAGGTACAAGGTGCTGAGTTGTTTTTTCAGTAGGTGGAGGCTTTTGTCGTTTTCTCCTTTTTCTTTGAGCAATTTTTCTTTTTCATCTTTTAAATGATCCAAATCTTGCTCTAGTTCAACTATATTCTCCAGTTTTCTTTTTCTGCAATTCTGAGCAGCCACTTTATTCTTACCCCTCCTACGTATATCTCTTATTAATGCAAGTTGAGCTTCATTGAACTGCTCTTTGGACATCATTTCATTGAAGTCATCAACAGGGAGATTAATGATTTTCTCTACAGGGAATGGAATATGGAGAGCTTTTGCCCTTAGCTCATCTCTGGTGAGATGAGCCTCCAGGCGATTTGGATGCTTGTCTTTTGTGAATGGGGCCTTTTGATGACCAGGATTTATAGGCTCTTCTTTCCTTGGGGCATTTTCACACTGGCCATCAAGTACTGAGGCAGTGTGCCCTGGAGGTGGTGACAGGGGTTGGGCTGTATCCCCAGAAGACTGTACTGGCTGTGTTTTAGGACCATTCTGTTTGACACTTTGAGGGGTACTATCTCTCTCTTCCATTTCAGAATCACTGAAACCAAGTGGTGTATCTCCATAGATGGAAGATTCCAATGAGTGTTCTGGTGATGCCATGCTGGGACTTGTGTTCAGTGAAATGCCAGAGTCAGAATCATTGAATTCTCCTGTGCTTTCGGTGTGGTTTTGGTTGAAAGCTTTACAAAGTGATAGATCAGAAACATCAATAGGCCCGTTTAGAAGTTCAGAGAGTGATTGGCTTAAAGTAGCAGAGGAGGGCATGCTGTTGCTGATGCTGGGCTCTGCTATAAAAGCAGAATAAAATTCATCACCAAAATCAGTATTTATTGTTGTATCATTTGAATTTAATGAGTTCACTGCCAACTGGTTGGGGTCGTCTGTGGGTAGGATGTTGCCAAAGAAATCCTCAAAAGCATTGACAAAATGTGGACTGCAGTCACCTACTTCTTTTTCCAGTGCAGGGATGGGCGAGTAGAAATGATAGTTGTCAATTTCTGTCAGTTTAGTTTCTGGGGTTGCCACAGTGCTAGTCTCAACTAGCTTGTCATTTTGAATATTAAGACACTGCATGGAAAAGAAGTTTAGAGTATATAAAGGTGAAGTATTTTAAAAGCCACTTAATAAACTGAAAACAAAAAACCTAAGCTCACTACCACTGAGCCAATTCCAACACACAGTGACCCTATATAGGAATTCTGACATTATGTATCTTTACCACCAACCTTGTGGTTAGGAGTCCCACACCAAACCCACAGTGCCACGAAGGCACCTTAAACAACTTGTTAAGTATTGTCGAGTTGATTCCAAGTCTTAGTGACCCTATATAGGTTTTCCAAAGAGCAGCTGTTGAGTTTGAACTGCTGACTTTGTGATTCACACCAACTGTGTGGCCCAGTGCATTATTCCACACAGTAGATAATGCTCCGTATCTGATTGTAAACTCTCCCTCTTCACCACCCCATTTCCTCTAAACTGTTCTATAATTTTATGTCCATGAATATGTATTATCTGAGTTCCTAGATCAGACTTTAGGTTTATAATCTGATCTATTCTGAACATATCTAGCCCATTTAACTAACAAAAGTTCACATTAAGTGAGGATGGGTAGCTCATGACCAAATTTTAAATATCCTCCATATATATATAAGGCATAGAAATTAATAAATCACTTGAATGATTAAAGGCATTGAATATAAAATAGAATTTAAGGTATTATATTAGAACTTAGTTACCTGTAATTCTGGAATGGATAATAGCTCCTCCCAAACTTGATCAACATCCTGTAGCATATTGTCTAAATGGGCATCAGTTGTCTGAAGGGCAGAATTTTCAGATGACTGAGTTGGACTAGGAGCAGTGAAGACTGGGCTCTCGGCGTGGCTGGGAATATCAGGAACAAGTGATTGAAAGGTAGCCGAAGAAACCTACAATTGACAAGTAAGTTGTTTATCTACCAGAGTCAGCTACCATAGAAAAACAATGAGTTTCAAGGGAACATCACAAAACCTTAAACTGGAGTCAGTTTTAATTCCCTATTTCTCTTATTAACTAACTAGTCCTGGTGTGGCACTGTGGGATAAAGCACTGGACTGCAAAGTCATTGGAATTGCAAACCCTATACAGGGTAGCTATGGGTCAGAACTGACTCAACAGCACTTAACAAGTACTACTTAGTAACTACTTATAATCCCTATTTCTATATAATGAAACTAGTTTTTTGTTTTTCTTTACCCAACTGACTCTGAGTTTACTCCTCCCTTCACTAATTACTTGTTTCATCCTGTGCACTTGAAGGTAAACCTCAAAATGGGTAAGAAAAATCTTTAATAATTGCTTCAAACACAGTAGGCAAATTGGCTCTTTATTCACCCAAAATTTATTTTTAGGTATCTGTAACAAATGAGTTGTTTCTATGGTTATGCTGATCTATGTTTCTGGCTATGCAGTAGTAAAAGATTTCAGTTTGGTATTATGTGGGGGTCTTTTTTTTTTTTTAAACTAACCGTAAGGTTTGACACATTTCTTTCTTTTAAATGGAAAGACTTTTAAGTGCCTATGTAGTGAGTCTGTATTGGGTTTCTGAGGAGCGGCTGGTGAGCTTGAACCAATGACCTTGCAGTTCAAATCCAACTTTGCAGTCCAGCACATTAACCCACAGCACCACACCAAGACTCTGGAAAGACGTTAAGTGCCATCAAGTCGGTTCCAACCCATAGTGACCCTGTATAGAGTTTCCGAAGAGCAGCTGGTGAGCTTGAACCACAGCTTTGCAGTCTGGTGCAGTAGCCTACAGCGCCACGACATTAAAGGGACCTATATAGGGTACATGAGATTTAAGTTGTAGAGTTCTGCTGGTAATCAAATATTTTATACCTCATTGTTATCTACAAATGGGAATGCCAAAAGCTGCATGCAGTCATCGAAGTATAAAGCATCTGGTTTGGGAATGTGAGCAACCTGGGTAAGAAGGAAAGACAAAAGGTTCATGATCATAAAATATTAAAAAATATATAGTTAAATAAGCACATACTCAAACTAGACCATCTGGGTTCAAATCTTATCTCTACCCATACCCCCAATTTCTTGAGCTGTCTGGGCATTAATTAAGGTCCTAGGTAATTACTACCTGAGGTCTGCCTTAGGGCAGGCAGGCCAGAAAGCTGTGTGTGTCTTGGGGACAGGGTCAAGGCTTGTCAGTTAAGTCAACTGATTAACTTGTTAAGTGTTCCCACTCATAGTGACCCTTCTGAGGAGTGGCTGGTGAGTTTGAACTGCCTAGGGGGCTTCAAAAAGTTCATGTAAAATTTCTATTTTAATCTCATTCTTCCACAAACTTTTTGAAGACCCCGTGAATGTTAAGTGCCTGGAGTACTTGCTGTAAGTGCTACTCTTCACTGGTTCTAAAACACTGATCCTATAAAGGTCAACTCCTATTGATAGATCTTTACATGATGTCTCTCTAGCCTACAGTGCCATACCATGAGTCCCTTAAGTAATTTATGCCTTCCTACAATTGGTGTGGCACTGTAGGATCAGCACTCACTCGACTGCAAGGTCGGTGGTTTAACTCACTAGCTGGCGGCTCGGAAACCCTATACAGGGTCGCTATGGGTCAGAACCGACTTGATGGTAGTTAATAACAATTAGTACAATGGACTCTAGGTGTGGTACTAGAAACTGCACTGGACTGTGAACCACAAGGTTGGCAGCTCAAAAACCCATCAGCTGCTCCTCGGAAACCATATACAGGGTCTCTACATGTTGGAACCGACTCAACAGCACTTAACAATTTGTACAATGGAGTCCTGGTGTGGCACTGTAGGACAGCATTGGACTGTATACCACATGATTAGCAGTTGTTCCTTGTTAATACCCTGTACAGTGTCACTATGAGTCAGAACTGATTCAATGGCAAACAACAATCAGTGCAGTAACTAGGAGGAAAGTGGACCCAGATACCGAACGGAAATGGTAAGGCGGCTGTGGCTGCTAGGAAGGTGACAGCATCACAACACAGTAAGGGGCAAAGAGGAAACTCAAAGCCAGATGTTTTAACTCCTTAAGTCAATGTTTTTTCCTTAAACATTGCCATACACTTTTCCAAGAACCGAGTACTCCCTACCTTGGAGAAGTTGGCAGATCCACTGGTTTCTGATGGGATGTGTTGGGCTGGCTGAATCGGGAGGAATTCGCCTGTCTCTTCATCCAGTTGCAGCTGAGCAAAAAAGGCTTTTTCTTGCTCCTTTTGGAGTTGTTCTTGTCTTTCCTTTTCAAGTTTTTTCTGTTTTTCCAGCTCAAACTCCTTGCGCCGCAGACTGAAGTCGAATACTTCACGACTTACCCCAAGATCTATATCTTGCCTCCAAAGTATGTCAATCAAATCCATGTCCTATGTTGAAGGCAAAAAAGGAGAGAGACCCTGGTTGTTTGAAGTGGTAAACAGCACATATATGAATTCACACTGTGCCACTGTTGATGAGAGGAGGGATCACAAAGTCTGAATGGGACCATGAATACACTGTTCTAGAATGACACAATCCCATTCAATGAACCTAAAAACAAAACAACCTACAAACAACGTACAGCCATCCATTTGATCACTCATTTGTTGGGATTATGAATGATTGGGTGATGGTAGAGGTCATCCAAAAGGGCATGGTAACATGTAGCGCATTACAGTGTTTGAAAAAAAAACCCATACTTGTTTAATGGAATGTAAAAGAGCAAGCACTACAAGCCACTGGTTTATTTTGAGAATTGGGATTTGAAGATATGACTGACTATACAGACTTTTCCCCCTAAATTTATCCAGCAGATAGCTAGTTTATGGGAAAACTCCTAAATTAAACTGTCAATCTAGCCATTATGAAATACCACCATTCTTTTAAGTTTTTCCTACATGGGATAGATTATCTCCCCCTACCATTTCTTGCAGAGTCCTGGTGTGGTGCTGCGAGTTACTGTGCTGGACTGCAAAGTCAGTTTGAACCGCAAGTTCAGTGGTTCAAGCTTACCAGCCACTCCTCAGAAATCCTATACAGGGTCTCTATGAATCAGAGCCAACTTAATGGCACTTAACAACAACGTCTTTTCTTGCTACTCTTGTCTCTGTGGCTCCCTTATTAGAGCCTTTTCTTCTTGCCTTGAGTTTTTGCTCCTGAGGCATGAGCAAGTTGGTAAAGAGAAGTTGTTGCCAGCAGTAATCTTGTGACACTTGGGACATGAGTGGTGGCTTTCCAGAAGAGTTGTGGAAGGGGCTTTACCTCCAACATAGTGCCCACCAGTGTCATTTCAGGGGAACGTTAACTTGCTTCTCATCAAAAATTTAAAAAAAAACCCCAGGGAGAAATCGAAGGTATTAGCACAAGATATGGGAGAAGCTTCTAATGAAGGAATAGTTATTTTGATTTAATAAAAAGACAAAATAATTTTGAAATAATTTCCTGACTTGAAACTTGGCGTTTTTGGAAAAGTCTGTAAACCGAGGGTAAGGAGCTCTGGTAGCGTAGTGGTTACGAATCGGGCTGCGAACCTTAAGGTCAGCGGTTCGAAACTACCAGCCGCTCCGCGGGAGAAAGATGAGGCTTTCTACTCCTGTAAGGATTTACACCCTCGGAAACCCCATACAGGGTCGCTATGGGTCGGAACCGACTCGAAGGCACTTAACAACCTCAGGTTTTGGCTTCCAAGAAGTGACTGGTGGGTTTGAACCCCTGACCTTGCAGTTAGTAGCCCAGTGCTTACCCAACAGCACACCAGGAGTTGAACTTGATTACTAGATATGTATTGTATATAAAAATAAAAGGATTTGGGTTTGAGATCAACACTAGATTTATTTCTATGGCACTTAATAGGTAACAGATTAGGAGATTTAAGTCCGCTTTCACAGACATACACATACACACCCATTCCTACTACATGACTGACTAACCTGTAGTGCACACCTCCAAACCTCTTTGTTACTGCTGCTTTAAATTTCCTATACTGTGATGAGAAAAGAACACCTGGGCGAATCCTGATCAAATACTAAGAAAAATAAAATACGAAGCATCAGCTCGGATCAGATGCTGAGCATCCCATTCTCTATCTGATGTGAAACAATGCTGAGCCTTGGGAGAGAGTAGCTCCAACTTACTATCTCAATATGCACAAAAGTTGTTTCAGGTGACAATATCTTACTATTCTTAATGTGTGCTGGACAGCATCCAGTGTGATCCTCCGGTACCAAAATAAGTTTGTAAGTGTTCTATATCTTTTTGTCTGTTTATGTAATATTTATTATTATTATGAGAGGTCTCAAAAAGAAAACTTACACTTAAAAAAAAAGCTTGAGTTTCAAGCAACTGCGTTGAGTTCCTGAAAACAAACATTCTGACCAAATTCAGGATGCAGTAAAACAATGGGTGTTTTGCCACAGCCTCAGTATGTCATGCTATGTGTAACTCAAATTTTCACAAAAGTTTCAGAAGATGGAACCCTGTAGAGATTTGATATTATATGAAATACTGAAAGCTTTATGTTAAAACAGAAGAAAAAAAAGAAGTGTGCCAACTCAAGCCTTACTGTTGGTAGTTACTGTGTTCTGTACTAGCTTAACAGGCAAGGAACATTTCCTGTACGGAGCCGGGTGGGCACACGACTCACTTTGCAGATGACCCATCTCTGCAAAGTTCAAACTTCATCTAAGAGGAAATAATAGTTGGGTGGAGCTTATAACAAGAGCATGACACTGGACAGTAAGGAAGGGAAGAGCCTCAGGAAGAACTAAAACTGCCCTTCTACACATAAATCCAAGGCACTGAGGAATTACAGCTGCCTAATCTCCCTGAAATCCCCCAAGAGGAAGGCTGCAACACATAATGGTAGATAAGTAGGTTTGGGGAGGGAGAGGAAAGCAAGGGATGGTTTGTGCAGTGTTCCAACAGGTTTTTCTTGGAGACTACGAAAAAGCTTCTTGAGGGCAATGTAAATACTGGCTCTGCCTTCCCAAGAAGCAAATACTGATGGCCATTTAGTGTCTAGACCTTTTGTTGTCATCCTGTAGTGATTCCTGAGTATATTCTACATTGCTAGCTTGGCTTAGACAAACGAAGACAGTTTAATAAGCAGCATAAATGTTCAACAATTTGTGTTCAGTCACCATCTGGCCCAACAGAAATATTCATGTTCAAAACATATATCTCATTATTTGCCATTTGGGTAATCTGTTACACTTTTTATGAGAAATCTGAAGTTAGACCATTAGCTCATTCCACTTTAAAATAAACATGGTTGTATCAGGATAAACAAAGAAGAAAGGCTTTCAACAAAGAATCCTGATTAAAGATATCTTTCGCAAGTCAATTTTAGTCCCTTGAACAAACCTGTATTTATCATTTATCATGTTCATCATTTATCATGTTCACAAAAAAGGAACAATAGCACAATGCTGGTGTGGCGCTGTGGGCTAAAGCGTCACACTGCAAAGTCCTTTGAACTGCAAGGTCGATTGTTCAAGCTCACCAGATTCTCCTTGGAAACCCTAAGCAGGGTCGCTATGGGTCGGAATTCACTCGATGGCACTTAACAACAACAATGCTAAATTGAAAAGTCTTGGCGCTACAGGTTACTGTGCTGGACTAAAAGGTCGGCTGTTCAAGCTAACCTGTTGCTCCTCAGAAACCCTGTACAGGGTCACTATGGGTTGGAACTGACTTGACGGCACTTAACAAAAACAGCAAACATTCTACATTGAAGCTAAGTAGTAAACTAATGTTTATATGACCAAATGTGTAAATGAGACTTGTAACTCCTTTACTCATGTCTCCATTTTACCCCAAGAATTATGGGAAAGTAGGGGGAGTTTTCTTCCTAAAAATAGCATTTTAACAACAAACTCTCAAAAAAATAAACAGCACAGATTATTAGCTTTGTAAATAAGATGAAAACTGATACTCGCTTCCAGTTTTACATTGTACAGGTAAGACACTATATCAAATTATTCCTTCTAAAAATCAGTTCTTTCCATTAAATCAATATATTTTATTTTATAGTTTATTCCCCTGAGAATGTCTTCCATCCAAATATTAGTCACCAGTACTCAGAGTCTGGTCATGTTTTTCCTTAGGCATTTTATTCTTATATTATACCCAAGTGATAATATAATTTACTTAAAATAAACCCTAGTGGCACAGTAGGTTAAGTATTAGGGGCAAACTGCAAAGTCTGCAGTTCAAACCCACAAGTCCTGCGGTTGGCTGCTCCCATAATGGTTTATAGTCTCATGAACCCTATGGTGCAGTTCTACTGTGTCCCATAGGGTCACTATGAGTCAAAAATGACTCCATGGCCATGGGTTCAAAGCTAAACCGAGTATTTTCCCCCCCATAGAAGCTGCCCAAATATTTTGTGAATAAAACCGGATGGAGCATGAATCAGTTCTCACCATCTGCATGAGTATAAATCAATTTATGAGCTGTTGTTGTTAAGTATCATCAAGTCGGTTCTGACCCATAGCGACCCTGTATAGGGTTTCCCAGAAGCAGCTAGCTTGAATTGCCGACCTTCAACCTCCAGTTCAAACGGCTTTGCAGTCTGGTGTATTAACCCAAAGCACTACACCAGGACTCCTTATGAGCTGTTGTTGTTGTTATGTGCCGTGGAGTCGGTTCCAACTCATAGCGACAGAGACGATAAAACCAATTGAGGATATGTTTGCATTTTGAAGAACTGAAAAAAATGACTAAAATGCCCCTTCTCGATTCACAAAGCTCTACTCTTTTGCAGTCACAAGACTTACTAAACTGTATACGCTTCAGCAACACAGAAACAATTCTCACCAAACAAAGTAAAATGACTCCAAGCAGGCTTGTTTTTAAATTGATGTCCAGCTGCTGTTGGTTATATTTCACAAATATTCTATTTACTTATCTATACAGCTTCTTTCCTATTTCTCCATACAAAAAGATCTATAACACAACACCAATTGTTTCCTCAGAACTCTAGAAAAGGCAGACAATAGGTCATTCTTTTACTACAGCTTTCCCACATTTAAGCCCTTTGGGCCACTTGGCTAACTCTTGATTCAAAGCTACAGCAATTGTAAAGTTGTTGTTGCTGTCAGCTGCTCCCAACTCTTGGCAACCTTGTATACAGCAGAAAGCAACCCTGCCTGACTCTGCCTCACCCGTCACTCGAGCTAATGTGTCAATCCGTCCCTGCTAGCCGCTCTACCTGTCAAACATGGTGTTTGCCTCTAAGGACTGGTCTCCCCTGGTGACATGTTCAAAGTAAGCAAATTGGACCACTGAAGTAATTGATTACAAATTGTGAATCACAGAAGGGTGAAGGTGAAAGGGGCCTTACAGAAATCTAGCCCAAGTCTAAATGCTTCCAGGCTAACTTCTGTGT